GGGGGAGGATTGGGAGCCAGGACTCCTGGGTTCTCTCCCCGGCGGGGGTGGGGGGAGGATTGGGAGTCAGGACTCCTGGGTTCTCTCCCCGGCAGGGGTGGGGGAGGATTGGAAGCCAGGACTCCTGGGTTCTCTCCCCGGCAGGGGTGGGGGGAGGATTGGGAGCCAGGACTCCTGGGTTCTCTCCCTGCTCGGGGGCTGGGAGCCAGGACCAGACCCTGATGAAGCAGGCAGTGAGGGGGTCACTCCGTGCCCCCGCTGTCCATGGGGTACCGCCGCCCCCCCAGTACATACAGACTTCGCACCAACAGCGCCTCAGCTCATTGTTTAATTCGTTAATTAATGACACAATTTTTGCTACAATCATCCACAAAGTAGTCCTACATGGCCCCACCCCGTCCCCTCCTGGCCCCCAATCCCCAGCCCACCCATACAAAAGCAAAATCATATACAAAAATATACCCCCCCTTATAAAACCTTTCCTGCCCCCCATGGGAGTAATTGACCCTGCAACCACCAGGCTCCAAAGTCACCCCCAATTAACAGCCCCTCCCCCAGGACATACCATTCAATAGGGACACCATTGAGCTGGGTGCTTGTGATTCACCTTCCAGCCCCGGATGCCTGGGTCCGCATGGCACCCCTTGATCCTGCAGTTCATACTAATTCCCCCAGGTCCAGATGCCTGGGTCCGCATGCCAATCCCCCCCCCTTTCCCCCAGCAGCCCCAGATGACTGGGTCTGCTTGTCCCCTCCATCACCAAAGCCCCAGCACCCCAGAATCACCCCCAGTCCCCTCCAAAATAACCTCTGTCGGGGAACTGTCGCCTAGCAGTGTCTTGATTAGCCCCGCTCCGTGCCCCTTTGGTCCCCAGTGTGGTGGTGGGGGGTCAGGGCAGCCGCCCCATATGGAACTAGCCTGGATAGCTGCTTTGGGGTCACACAGGGTGCATTGTGGGGGAGAATTCTGGGTAATCTGCCCCAATAAAACCTGGTCCAAGAAGCAAAGGATTCTGGGTAACCCCCCATGTCACCCCCCCCCGTGGTCCAGAGGGCAGGGGCTTTTCTTCCCATCTTCTCCAAACCAACCCATGATGTGGCCCGGAGGATTCACTTCCATAAGCTCCCCCTTCCAAAGGAAGGGGCGGCCCTGCTGCCCCCCATCCCGCCCTTAGGGGACACACAGGGCCGGGGTGGTGGGGAGGGACTTGGTTTTGGACCCTCCCAGAAAACAAATCAAGCAGCAGCACATTATCTCCCCCGCCCCACGTTCGCACTCCCCTGTTCAGCTGGAAGTCAGATGATGCCCCCGGAGGCCGGGGCCAATGAGATTCCGCCCACGCCAGTGTCTGGGCCATCCTCTGTCCCTGGCTGCTGGGGCTGTGCGGCTGCCCCCCTCCCCCCAGCAGAGGTGTCTGCGTCTACAGGGCACTTCACACCCCTGCAGTCTGTATGGTGCCCGCCCCGAGGTCTCACCCAGCCCCGGAACCTGCACTGCGCCAGCCCCACTACCAGGGTCCACGCCACCACCCAATCCCAGAGTGAGTGTCGGCACCTGGACACCAGTGTCCATGCCACCCCCTCCCCACGGCACACACTGCATCCTCCCTGCCCCCCAGGGCTCACACAGCACCCCCGCCCCGGGGGGAAGCTCTGGATGGACCCAGGCATCTGGGATGGAGTGGGCCACGTCCTCCACCCTGGTCACCAGGATTCATGTGGCTTCCGCCCCCACAGCCCACATAGCACCCCCCATCCTGGACACCTGGGTCCACGCAGAGCTGGCCCCCGCTCCCCTCCCCCCCGTGTCCCGGATGCCAGGGTCCACCACACCCCCCGCCCCTGGAGTCCACACGGAGTCCCATCCCGGACGCCTGGGTCCACGTGCCACTGCCCCCCAGGCGCCCCCCGCTGGGGCCTGCTACTCGTAGTGCGCGATGAGCACCATCATGGCGACGCCGCAGACCAGCCCCAACACCTCCAGCAGGGACTGCAGGGGCGCTGCGTCCCGCAGCAGCTCTGGGATCACTGACACGGTGCCCACGTAGATGAACCCGCCCGCCGTGAAGGGCAGGATCCAGGCCGTGGCCGCCTCCCCGATGCCCTCGGCCAGCAGTGAGCAAGCCGTGCCCGCCAGGGCGCCCAGCGCCGTCAGCAGCTGCAGCTTCATCGCCTGCGGGGGAGAGAGAGGGACCGGGGGGTGTCAATGGAGGGTTATGGGGTTTGGTGGGACTGGGGGGCAAGTGGGGGTTTGGGGCAGGGTCAGCAGGCGAATACAGGGGGGCGGGGTCAGGCCTTAGCAGGAGTTCCGGGGCAGGGGTGAGTAGGGGAATATAGGGGCAGGCAGCAGCAGGAGGTCTGGGGCGGGGTTAGCAAGGGGGCGGGGGCAGCAGGGGTCCCAGGGCGGGGGCAGGCAGCAGTGGGGGGTCTGGGGTGGGGCTAGCAAGGGGGCGGGGGCAGCAGGGACCCCAGGGCGGGGGCTGTACCTTGCGCTTGCTGCAGCCCGACTGGACGAGAATGGCGAAGTCGCCAACTTCGTGGGGCACCTCGTGCAGCAGCACGGTGAGGGTGGTGACGGCTCCCACCCCGGCCCCCGCCAGGAACGACGCCCCGATCGCCAGCCCGTCCGTGAAGTTGTGCGTCAGGTCGGCCGCCAGGTTCAGGTACCCAGAGACCTTCATTGCTGGGGGGAGGGCGACAAGAGTTGAAACCCCCCCAACCTGATCACAGCCCCCTCAAACCCCCTCCCCCGCACCCCCCCTTATCCTTCCCCAGATGCTCTCTGTGCCATGGTGCCCCCCACAGACCCAGCTCCCTCCCTCCAGCACCTCCCCACCCCCGATGACTTACTAGACTCCTGAGTCCGCTCCTCTGACTCCTGGCCCCTCTTCTTGGGGGCTGCCTTGTCAGGGGCACGCACCTTGCCGGCCTTCCTCTCCTGGGGCCCGTTGTCCTCCTCGCCAGAGCTGCTCTTTGCCTTGGGAGCTGTGGGTGGACCAGGGGGTGGGTGGGGGGTCAGGGCTGACTGCTCAAGTCCCTCTCCCAGGAGCCCGCCCAGGGACAGGAGGGGGACTCCTGTGGGTCTAGGACCCACCAGCACCCCTCCCACTGATCCCCAGAGTCACCTGCAGACCCATCAGGGCCCTTATATGGACCCCCCCTTCCCAAGCCCACTCCAATCCATGGATTCCGAGGCCAGAAGGGACTGGTCTGACCCCCTGTACAGCATAGGCCAGAGACCTGCCCCATGATAATCCCCAGAGCCGATCTAGGAGAGAACCAGCCAACCGTGAGTTAAATACGGCCAGGGTGGAGAATCTGCCAGGACCCTGGGAAATGGTTCCACTGGTTCATTCCCCGGCCGGTGGATGGCGTTAGACCTTCCTGGCCTAGACCTGGGAGCCCGGCAGGATGGAGACAGGGATCGCGTCACCCCCTTTCCTGATTCAGCGAAACAGACGGCGCTCCTGGACTCCAGGTTTTCCAGCCCTCCACTGTTCCCATGGCTCTTCTCTGACCCCTCCCCAATGTATCCCCAGCCCGCTGGAGTTAATATACCTATCTCATAGAACTGGAAGGGACCCCGGAAGGTCATCGAGTCCAGCCCTCTGCTTTCACTAGCAGGACCAGGTACTGATTTTGCCCCAGATCCCTAAGTGGCCCCCTCAAGGACTGAACTCACAACCCTGGGTTTAGCAGGCCAATGCTCAAACCACTGAGCTATCCCTCCTCCCCAGTTGGGGGCTCCAGAACCGGACCCGGGATTCTAACAACGGGCACAAGCCGGGGGTGCTGGAGATGGGGGAGGGTGTTCCAGCTGGTACGTACCGTGGCTGTGCCACCGTGGCTCTGCCCATGGGCAGGGGATCTGGGGTGTGTGTGGTTTGGGATGTGGGGAGGGGATCTGGGGGGATGTGGGGGGGGGAGGTCCTGGACGGTACGTACCATGGCTATACCCAAGGCTGGGAGATCCATGGGGGGCGGGTGGGACATGCGTGTGTGTGTGTGTGTGGGTCCAGCTGTGCCCGTGGCTGGGGGAACCATGGGCTGTGTGTGTGTCCCCCGTGTGGTACGTACCATGGCTGTGTCCACCGTGGCTGTGCCCATGGTCATGTCCCCCTTTCACATGTCTCACAAACTTTTCCACCACCAGGAAGGCTACGATGCCAGCCAGGACCCAGAGCCCCACAGCCATCATCCGCTCGTGATCCTGCCCTGGGGGGCAGAGACGATGTGGGGCAGGCTGGGAAAGAGACTGCCAGCCCCCTTTCCCCCACCACGGTACAGCCCCCTCCCAGGACCAGAGCCCCACCACCGTCACTTGCCAGGGTGGGGGGAAAGAATGCTAACCCACAAACCTGCCCCCCACTACACCTCCCCTATAGCCATTACCCCCACTCCCTGTCCCAGCCACAGACACAAGCCACTCCAGCTCTCCGTAGAAACCCTGGCCCTTCTGGGCCCCCCTTCACACTGCCCCACACAAACCTCCAACCACAGCCCTCTTTCCCTGGTCTGTCCGGCCTTCCCTCCCCCACCCACTGCCCCCACTTCCCCCGGCCTCACCTTGGTGGGAGTGACCGTGGCCAGCCGACACCGTGGGGGAGTGAGAATGGGCATGGCCGCCCTCCATGTGGTGGGAATGGGGCACTGGGGAGGGAAAGGGGCAGAGATGAGTAACCAGACCCCCGAAAGGGAAGAGGCCCCAGGGCCCATTCCCTGCCCCCTGAGCCAGAT